TTTATTTAAAGTGTGTATATTAGCATTACATAACTTTCTATAGATATTGGCATGACTTGGCTTTCTATGTCATAACTACGTATCATCATTTGTAGATTTCATGTAAAGTAAATTCAAATTAATATCATTGGTATTCTCAAAATTAATTAATTAAATATTTTAATTCCTATTTATAATAAGAAAAATAGTTTCATTATTTCTAATAATGCAATATGAAGCCTTAAAAAATATTTAAACCTTTATCATATAATTGATTAATTTATATTAAGTTATGTTTTAAATCAAAAATAAATAAGACTTTTTTAAAAGTAATAGAGTTCTTACATATGGATCCAATGCCAAAAATCTTTCCCTTTGCATTATCTCCATATGTGACATATCCTCCATCACTTGGTTATACTATAGAAAATTTTGCTTTGTCGCTCATCATATTTCTTGAACATCCACTGTCCAAGTACCACTTGCCTTCATTGATTTTAATATGAAATCTTTCCTATAAAAGAAAATAAAATGTTAACTTTTGAAAACCAAATATTTTTTTTGTCCACATTCTAAATGAGTAGTATGATATCTATTATGTATGGTATAAGAAGTGCTTATGTTTTTTGGAACAATACAAAAGATAATTGTTTAGCATTCTATGATCTACGAGCTGCATAGCAATTAAATAAGATATCTCCTTTTTTACCATAACAATTACACCAAATATTAGTGTTGCATATGGCTTAGTATGATGTCTATGTGAAAAATAAAAAGAATTTTTATTTGATGTCATACTTGATGAAACTTTATAATGGACTTGTGATTTAATACATAAATTTAATCTTGCTTTTAATATATTATTTTCTTTTTCAAGTATATAAACAAGTAAAGAACAATCTAATAAAGAACTATTTTTATTTTTAAAATCAACACATTCAATTTAAATTATTAAAATGCATAACTAAATTTTTATGCTCATTTTCAAAAACATTATATTTCTTTTTAATTTTTTATATTCAATAGCTAATTTTTTAAAGTATTATCTAATTCTTCATAATATAAATCATTACATACCTCTTGAGAATCACAATTGGATTCTCCTCTTGCCATAAGATAAATGTTCACCTCTTCACATGATGAACTTGATTCATTTCAACCTAGGTTTGCCCATAGACTTATCTTCTTCTTCTTAAAATGTTTCTTTTTTTTTTCTCACTCTTTATCTCTTCATCCATATATTTTTTATTCATATTATTAAGATTTGGATAATATCCTCTTATATATTCAGGCTTCTTGTAATGGTAGCAAATAATCCCTTCTCTTGTAGAAAATTTCTTATTTTAAAATTTATAATTTTTAGATTTCTTATATCTTTGATTTTTCCTCCCTAATAAGCTTCCAACTGTTCTTGATAGCATGGACACCTCATCGCTATCTTCATTAGAGCTTGATGAACAAGGTTCATCATTATCATCAACTTGTAAGGCAATGGTTTTATCTTTCTCTTTCTCTTTCTTAGAAGAGCTATCCAACTTATCCCTTTGAGCTATAATCTATTCATGTGCTATCAAAGAACCCAAAAACTGATCAAGTGGATAAGTAGATAAATCCTTAGCCTTATTAATTGAAGTTACTTTAGTCTTCCATTCTTTGGGAAGGCATCTAAGAATCTTATAAACTAATTCGTGACTCTTATATATTCGTCCAAGTGAATGTAATATATATTCATATATTCATAAATCTTGTATACATATTAGAAATAGACTCAGAAGGAGTCAAATAAAATAATTTAAATTCATAAATAGTCTATTTATGTGAGCATCTCAAACCTCACTAGTACCATCATAAGTTATAATTAATTTATCAAATTTTTTTTTCCTAAATTTAACATGGAAATATTCATGTAATCATAAGGAAGAGTTGAACAATGAAAAGTATTATATGCCCAAGTATTTAACACATCTAATTCTCTCTCTACTGAATTCTATTCATCAAAAGGTTTTTTAATTTTAATTCCACTAATTTCTTTAGTGGGTGTATGATATTGGTGTGTAAGCATGTCCCACATATAAGAATCGTGTCCTCTTAAGCATATCCTATTTCTATTTTTCAAATAATTAAATAGAACATTATCTAACCAAGGTGGACGATGAGTGGATTATCCTTTAAGAAGTGAATACTTAGGAAACCCTTGTTCCATAGTTTATAGTGGATCTACTCATGGAAGTTAAGCCAAAAAAAGAGCCAAGGCTTTGATACAAATTATTGGATGACTATGGCACCCCAAGATGAGTGGGGTGAATTGGGTTTTAAAAGTTTTACTAAAAGAAGATAATTAAAATAATTATAATATTATTTGGCAAAGAGAAAATAATCACACAATTTTTTAAGATGAAAAAAGACAAAGAAAAATAGATGCAAGAAAATAAAATGTTAAGCACAATATTTTTATGTGATTTGGCCCGAATTTAAATCCACCCTACATCCACGCTAGCCAACTCTCATGCTATAATCCACTAATCCCAAGTTTTTCTTGCAAACCTCACTTCTTTAAACACATGAAGTTGTTTATAACGTCCTATATGGATGAATAAAACCCAAATCTAATTACAAATTAAACATCACTAAGCCAAATGGCATAGATAAAGAAAAAATATATAATTTGATATAGATAATACAAGCACAAATTATCATGCAATAAGAAGACCAAAATACTTGTGATCTTACAATTTAATTTTAGTCACCTCACTACTTGCAAATGGAATAAAAAATTTGTTTACTTTAAGATAGATTTAAATTTTGAATAATATTTTAAATTAAAATAATTTTCATACTTATTTAAACTATAACTACTTAAATCATATTATATTTTAAAAAGTAAATTAAATTTGAAATGCAAATCTATGTAATGTAAAAAAAAATACTTGCTTTGTTAGCTGTATAGATTTAAAAGATTTAACATAGAAAACTTAATATAACATTCTTAACTAGTATTTATCAAAATAATAAATCTTTTAAAGAAAATAAATGGTAAATATATAAAATAATAGCAAGTAAATATTCAGAGAAAGAAAGCAAACCCAAGAACTCTAAGTGATATAATTATATGATATTTGTGCGGTAAAGCTTTCCAACAAGAATTTAATCTCACAAATGAAAATAGCTCTTGTAATGAAAATCATAATTTCTCCTCTCAAAATTAAGAATGTAAGGAATAAAAAAAGAAAGGAGGAAATGCTAGAATTTTACTTTTGAATAGCCCTCACATGAAGAAGAAAAGATGCTTAATGGAAAAGGACAAGTAAAACAAAATTTGAATAAAACAATTAATCTAATATTAACTTATGAACTAAAAATATTATATTTGATTAAAACAATTCTTTCATATTAAAAAAAAATAAGTTTCAAACAGCTATAATAGGACTAGTCATTTGAAAAAGTCAAAAAGTCTTTATATACATCCAAAATAAGGTAAAAATAACTATGCAAAAAATAATATTAAAATTGAATAGTATTTAGAAATTCATTATAAATTCAATATAGCTCCAAATGGGTCACATAATCTATAAACTTCTATCTTTAGAATCCATGAAATCTAATGAAATAAAAATTAAGCTAGGTTTACGTCAAAACAAAACCATATACTTTAAAATAAAAAACTATGCATATATTCATGTATTTAAAGATATATAAAATATTAGAGTAATAAAATGATGTAATTTGGATAAAATTAATCATATATCAATAAATTTATATAAATCATATTTAATACAAAATAAATACGTAATTAATTTTTATCACAAAAGCTTATTATTTTTTATTTCCCTGGTTAATTTTCTTTTCAAAATTGATAACAATGAATCTTATAAAATTTATTTAATAAAGGAATCTTATAGATTTCTAAATCATGCTTATTACCCTTAATTAATAATATGTAAATCATTTTAATAGATATTTAAATTATGAGCAAATCAAGTCATACAAGTAAATATTAATGGATCTCTAACATACTTTTATAAAATCTTAAACCTTTTCATCTTGATTTATCTTGAGTTCTTTCAGCTCAAATTTTGATTGAACTTGAGCTGTGTAATATAATTTATACATAAGTAAATATCATGCATATCCATCAAATCATTATACCTGAAATACTTAACACACAAATTTGAACATCCAAGCATATATTTGTTACCATCAAAATCTCTAGAATAGGTCATGAGATAGATAATATCAATGGAGGGTTGTTAGGAAAAGGGGAGATTAGAAGAAAGAGAGAGCATTTGATGTAGAAAGCAAGATAAGAGAGTGATTGTTGATTGATGGATCCACGGAGCAATGTCAAATGGCAAGTACAAGGAAAGAGATTTACTTGTATAATGTCAGATAGGAGGTTTGCATTAGAGCGTTACAATATCAATTGAAAGGTCAAGATTATGAAAAAAATTAATATTTGGGCTCATATTGTTGATTTACTAAAGGTTTGCTACCAGACCCAACTCCTAGTCGCAAATCTTATCTCAAGATAACAATAATCTTGTGGTGATTTCAATATACAAGCCTACTTGAACTTATAGAATTGAGTTTTAACTCAAGCTCACACTCAATTTGTTGGTCAAAATTAAGCCCAATTTAAGCTCAATTTGAGAATAGCTCAAACTCAACACAACTCGTTAATAAACCCTAAAGTTAGGTATGAAAAGGCTCCACCAATCCAATGCATACGGCAAAATTAATTTATTATGAAAGTACTAAATACGAAAATCCACGTGTCAGACACATATTGTAAAGTTCTAGTTTGATTCAACGTCGAAAATTAAAAAGAAAAAAAAAACGGAAAAAAAAAATATTTTTCAAAATAAAAGCATGCAGCACCAAAGTCAATAGCCAATTTGATCCCCCCACTGGCATTAATTGAGCAATAAGACCTAGCGCAACACGGCGAAGTGTGAAATTCCAAATCAGACAAAGACAAAATTGGGCAGCAAAAGACTTGAAAAGATAACCTGCAGACTGTAGCATTACTTTCCTCTCTTAGACTAGAGCATGCAAGCCTTGTCCTGGAGAGTCTTTCCTTCCCGTTTTACTTCCCCATTAAAACCTGACACTTGTGGTGCTCCCTCAACTTCTTTTAAGAAGATAATGGGACTAGGAAAATATTCCATGGAAGAAGAAGCCTTAAGCTTGAGCATTATCCATCCTTCACCTTTCTTCCAATGGCTCAATCCCTTGCCCTCAAAACCCGAAAATATGGAGTGTCTTCCTCTTCTCAGTAGACTTGATGAGGCCAAGAAGAGCATTAAGGAGGAGAAGAAGGAGAATAGCTCGGAAAGAGAGGAGATTCTGCCAGCTGTGGCTTTGAGCATAGGATTGCCTTGCTTTGAAAGAGTTTTTGACGAGGAAGAAAAGGTTGATCAAAAGGAAGAGGAAAATGATTTCTTAGAACAGGGAGAAAATTCGTTGGTGAGTGAGAGCAGTAGGTTTTGGATTCCAACACCAGCTCAGATCCTTGTAGGAGCAGTGCAGTTCTCCTGCTCTGTTTGTCACAAGTCCTTCAATAGGTATAATAACATGCAGGTAATTAATGATCTCTTGATTAAAGCTTTTGCAAGTTAATTAATAGATATGCATGAAAAGATTGATCTATCGAACGGGTTTAGTTTTATTCTTTTTTTTTTTTTGTTTGATTTCTATTAATTTTTTATTTTATGATCTTTATTTTTTTAACATTTTTGCAAAGATTTATGGCTAGGAATTTGTAAGTTGTAATGCTAGGTTTATGCATGATCACTCAATAAACGTGGCCTTAACATTCTATTCTGTATAATTAATCTTTAATTTTTATTTCGGGAATATCTATTTAGGCAGAACATTTAGAATTTTGAGTTTTGGGGAATTTTTTTTTAAAACATGACATGCAGTAGCTAAAATATAATCTGGCTTTCATTTCTTTTAAATATTTAAATAAAATTGCTATTGATCACATTAAATTTTTCTCTTTTCGTGACTTTTTTAATTATGCTAACGGTTTCAATGGCTAAAATATTCAATGACTAAATAAAATCCTGTGGCAAAATTTTTATAAAAAACTTTTACCTTAAACATTCGTATCATTATATTAATAATAAAAATAAAGCTCTTAGAAAAATGGATTATAAGATCATATAGATGACTACAGAACAATTTTAAGGGAAGAAAAAAAATGAATGAAATTAAAATTTTTTCATATTTTTCAAACAAAATATAACACTTTAAATTTTATGAGGTTGTTTAATGTACTTTTAAGATTAACTGTTTTTTTCACAAATAAATTTGTTCATATGACATCTTAAATGTGTAAGAGGACTATGGAGGGAAAATTAAATATATAATATCATAATTTACATCATAAAAATAAAAATAAAAAATATTAAAACTTATAATTCAATTTATATATAAATCAACTCAAGAACTGCTTTATTTTCTTGGCCATATGTTTTTTTTTTTTTTTTTTCAAACTAATATTATATCTCGAATATTAGAGGAGAATAATCTGAGGAAATAATGATTCAAAGTCACATATTTTTATGACATCTTTGAAATTTTGATGAAAATGTGTAAAAGTGTTAATACGTTGACTATTTCATCCTCTTCGGTATTCTCTCCACACATTAGATTCATTTCTCTTATGTATAATTTTGAAGATGCATATGTGGGGACATGGATCCGAGTACAGAAAAGGCCCTGAATCACTTAAAGGCACACAGCCATTAACGATGCTCAAGCTCCCTTGCTACTGCTGCGTCCATGGCTGCAAGAACAACATAATTCATCCTCGATCAAAGCCATTGAAGGATTTCAGAACACTGCAAACTCACTACAAGAGGAAGCATGGTGTGAAACCTTTCATGTGCAGGAAATGTAGAAAATCATTTGCTGTTAGAGGAGATTGGAGGACCCATGAGAAGAACTGTGGGAAGCTCTGGTTCTGCTCCTGCGGATCAGATTTCAAGCACAAAAGATCACTTAATGATCACATCAGATCATTTGGAAATGATCACGTCCATTACATTCCTTGCAGGAACTCGATAAATGGCAAGAATCTGCATGGTTGAAAATACATACTGAAGAATTCGTATAATATATATATATATATATATATATATATATGGTTTTGCGGTTGTTATAAGAATGAGAAAGATATTGATCTGAATTATAAATTATCATATATATAACTTTGTTTATAACTTGTGCTCAGATGCAAAACACTTCTTTTGAGTGTGGAGTGGTTTGTTTACGAGCACAGGATGCCATGAGGAGATGAGTGGTACAAGGACATGTATTAACCGATTGTGGCTTCAGAAGTTATTAAGCGGAGCTTTAGACAGAGACTGAAATAATTTTTTTTTTATGTTCTCTTTCTTTGAATTTTTAATCTTGCTTAATCAAATATATAGGCACAGATCAATATCACTACTAAATCCTAATTCACAAGAGAGAGCCAAGGTTAATCATTCATTCCAAGTTTTTCTATAGAAAAAACTTGTGTTAGTATTTTATTAACACATAATAGTATGGTATTTCAAATATATACAATACAAAAACAACAACAACAACAACATCAAGCCTTTGTCCCACTACATGACGTCGGCTACATGAATCTTTTTTCTCCATTGTGTCCTGTTAAAAGTCAAATTATCCTTTAAATCTAATAAAAAAAGATCATTTCTAATATTTTCTAACCAAGCCTTTTTAGGTTTACCTATACCTTTCTCAACATAAGTCAAATCTAATATCTCAACTCCCCAATCGGGTCATCGGAAGGTCTCCGTTTAATGTGACCAAACTATCTAAGGTGACTCTCTCTAATCTTATCTTCCATTGGAGCTACACCAAACTTTCCACATATATGCTCATTTTGTATCATATCTCTAAGTTAAAGCCACTCATCCACCTAAGCATCCTCGTCTCTCTAACACCTAACTTAGTATTATGCTTCTCTTTTAATGGCCAACATTCGACACCATAAAGCATTGTTGGTCTCACCACCAGCTTATAGAATTTTCTCTTAAGTTTGAGGGGGACTTTTCCATCGCACAATAAGCCTGATGCAATTCTCCACTTTAACCATCCAACTTGAATTCTGCTGATAATATCCCCATCTATTTACCATCACTCTGAAAAATAGATCTAAGATATCTAAAATGTGTACTCGTATTAATGACTTGATCGTCCAAAGTCATAATCCACTCACTAGGTCTATTGCTACTAAAATTACACTCAATATATTAATTTTTATATCTACTCAAGTGAAAATCTTTAGAATCTAAGTTTGACATCCATAATTGAAGTTTACCTTCAACTCCCTCTCTAGTCTTATCAGCAAGAAGAATATCATCAGCAAAAAGCATACACTAAGGTATTATCTCTTACAAATGTCTAGTGAGAACATCCATGACTAAAACAAAACAATATGGGCTTATGGTTGATCCTTGATGTAATCCAACAGAAAATAGGAAAATATTTGGTCAAACCACCTTGTGTTTGAACACAAATAATACCTCATGCATACATATATTTAATGATTTGAATGTATACGTTATTAACTCATTTCTTTTCAAGAACTCTCCATAGCACTTCTCATAGAACTTTATCATATGCTTTATCTAAATTAATAAATATTATTTGTATATCCTACTTATTCTCTCTACATTTCTCCATCAAACCTCTTAATAAATGTATGACTTTCAAAGTTGACCTTTCCAGTATGAATCCAAATTTTTTTTTAGAAACATTATTATCACGCCGCAACCTATGCTCCATAACTCACTTCTATAGTTTTAAAGTATGACACATTAAGTTAATTCATCTATAATTTGGACACTCCTATGCATCAACTTTATTCTTAAAAAAAGAAATTAACACACTCATTCTCCACTCATCTGGCATATTTTTAGTCATGAAAATAGTATTAAAAAGTTTAGTGGGTCAAGAAATGTCTTCATCTCCTAAGCATTTTCGCATCTCTCCTAGAATATCATCAGGTCCAATAATTTTTCCAAACTCCATTTTCTTTAAATCCTTTCTAACTTTTGTTTTCCTAATACGTCGATAAAATTAAAAATCTTTATTTTCATTTAGAGTGCTAAAGTCACTAAAGTCAATCATATTTTCACATTCTTCATTAAAAAGTTTAACAAAATATCACATCCACCATTGTTGAATGTCATCTTATAAGAAAAGTATTTTTTGAACTTCATCCTTAATACACTTCACTTGAATTAAATCCTTACTACACTTATCTCTTTTTTTTTTCGCTAATATATATATATATATATATATATATATATATATATATATCTTTCTTTCTACCTGGTATCTAATCTAATATATAAATCATTAAAAGTTAAGCTCTTTACATCTTAAATAGTTTTCTTAGATTTCTTACGAGCCTCTTTATAACTCCAATTATCAGAATTTTTACATCCAAACCTAATTTTATAATAAATCATCTTATTTTTTATATTTTCTTGCATATTTTGATTTCACCACTAACTATTTTTACTATTACGAGCTTTTCCCTTCTAAACACCAAGCACATCTTTTGTAATTTTATTAATATCACTAGTCACTTTTTTTCATATAATATTTTAATTTTTATGCATAGAGAAAATAATAAGATCTAAAATCTTACTCCCACAAATACTTTTGTTAATATTATTTAAATATCCCCATCAAATCATAGAATATCATTTTACTTTATTTTTTAGCTTAGTACCCTCTATCTTAAAATCTAAAACTAATAATTGATATTGGGTACATAAAGTTTTACTTAGATTAACTTTACAATCTTTACAATCTAAAATATATACTTTTTTTATAAGATAATAATTAATATGTATTTTATTATATCCATTTTTATAAATAATAAGATGCTCGACTTTTTTTTTTAAATAAGAAATTAGCTTTTAAACAATCATAATTTATAAAAAATTTTAATATGATCTTACCACCTTCATTTGTTGTTTCAAACCCATGACCACAATGAATGTTTTTAAAATAATCTACCTTTTGACCAATATGTCCATTTAAATCTTCTCCAATAAAACTCTTTCTTCATGATGTATCTTTTATATTAATTCTTCTAAGTCAATCTAAAATTTTAATTTTGAACTCATATCTAAACCTACTTAAGGAGCATAAGTATTTATAATATTAACAATCATAGTATCAACAAAAATTATTAAAGCTATAATTCTATCTCCAATTATATTAATTTTTATAACATTATCCTTCAAACTGATATCTAAAATCACATATACACCATTTCTAGTACGACTCCTACTGGAATATCATAGTTTATATCATAAATTATCAATCTTCTTAGCATTCTCTTCAATCCATTTAATTTTTTGAATGCACAAAATATTTATCTTCGTATGAATCATAATATCTATTAATTTCATTAATTTTTTTATAAGGGAGCCTATATTCTAAGTTCCTATCCTATATTTTACACTATGGGAAAACACGATATTGTCATTGGAGCTTCTGGCGGATTTATATCCATTGGTAACTACGATGTTTTGACATACATCATGTGCGACATAAACATTACAGCATTTTTTTCGGCGGCCTAGGCTTCGATATTTTTTCGACGCTCATGATGTTGGTTTATACGTTAGAATATATAAGCATATCATCTAGAGCAGCGTAGTTGACACCGAAAAAATGGTCATATTTACCAGCGGATTAGACGCTAGATCTTTTAAGCACAACGAAATGGTTCCGTCGAAATAGACGCTGATAAATCTTTCAATGTTTCATACACTAGAAAGTCCGTCGTCGAAAGCCCTATTTTCGAACCCGAGCCTGACTGGCATTTCATTTCCTTTTGCGTTTTATTTTAACTCTCTACTGTACTTCATCGCCCCATCATCACCCCACCATAGATTTCACTATCGAGGCTTTCGAATGTCCACGATAGGTTACCGATAATGACTGCCTCCGTCGCGGGCGAAATGACACAATTTTTTTGGGAAAATCCACCGTGAGTTTTGATATTTTCATTGATTTTCAATACTAAATTTCTAGTGTGTTTCTTCCTCAAGTGATTGTTCCAAGTGTCAATATCTGAGAGAGTTCCCTAAGTTGAAAGAACTCCCTTATATTTTCTTAGTCGTATGACTGTATGAAATACTTAAGGCAAGTTAGCTTGTCCATATTGTATGGAACATGCAAAATCATTCACTTTAAAGTATGGAAGGAAGAACATTTGGTTTAATTGCCATTCATATTTTTACATCTAAGTCATCCTTTTAGGAAAAATAAAGATACCTTTACTAAAAATAAAATGGTGATGTTTCAACCCCCTCCAATATTAAGTAATGAAGACATATTTGAAAGAGTGAGATTCACGCCCATAATAATGGATTCTCCAACATTAGCTGAGTATAGATTGCCAGGATATGGTGTCAATCATAATTGGCTCAAGAAAAGTATTTTTTGGTCGTTGCCATATTGGAAACAAATCTGATTAGACATAATTTGGATGTCATGCATATAGAGAAAAATATTTTTTATTACATTTTTAATACAGTTATGGACATCAAAGACAAATCTAAAGATAATATAAAAGCATGGATGGATTTAAAGGAGAATTGTAGAAGGAAAGCATTAGAATTAAAGGATGATGGAGGTGAAAGACTTCTCAAACCAAAAGCTTCATTTACATTAACTTTAGATCAAAGACGAGAAATTTGTGAAAGGGTGAAGACCCTACGAGTACCATATGATATTCTTCCAATCTAAGTAGGTGTGTTGACATAAGATCAGGGAGATAATTCAGATTGAAAAGTCATAATTATCACATCTTTGTGTAATATCTACTACCAACTACTTTTAGTTATTTGTAAGATCAAATTTTAAATCCCTTGATTGAGCTAAGTGTCTTCTTCAAAGATTTATGTTCTTCTAAACTAAATGTAGAAAACTTGATTCTTATGGAACAGCAAAGTTCTTTCATTCAGTGTCAACTTGAAAAAACATTTTCATTAGGATTTTTGGACTCTATGGAGCATTTACCAGTGCATTTATCATATAAAGCTATAGTGGATGGACCTGTTCAGTATCACTGGATGTATTCTTTTGAGAGATATTTAAATAAACTTAAGAAGTCTGCTAAGAATAAAGCACGTCTCGAAGGCTCTATCTATGAAGCATATTTAATGTACGAGACAACTCAATTTTGCTCGTGTTTACTTTGAAATAAAGTCTCAATCAGGTGGAAGTATTGCACCTCAAAATGTTTTTAAACCCTCTAATATATCTATATTCAGTGAAAGTGATGAACCCGTAGGCGCTAGCATCGTGCACTGTTTGAC